TGGCCACCAGAGTAGTGCAAACGCTCCCCGACCTGATACACCCGGACCAGGTAGGGTTCATACCCGGGAGGGAGGCCAGGGACAACACCATCCGAGCCCTTAACATCATACACACAACAGTGGCCGGCAAACGAGATATGGTGCTTCTATCCACCGACGCCGAAAAGGCGTTTGACCGGGTAGACTGGAACTACATGGCAGCGACCCTGAGCCACATGGGATTTGGCCCGCGATTGCGAACCTGGGTAGCCGCACTATACACCACGCCGTCAGCACGCATACGAGTCCATGGAGCGCTGACCGACTCATTTGACATAAGCAACGGCACAAGACAAGGATGCCCCCTATCCCCCCTTCTATTCGCCCTCACTCTCGAACCCTTCCTTGAAGCGGTTAGACAGCACGGGGGGATCACGGGACATAGCATAGGCGGCAAGGAACACCGAGTAGCGGCTTATGCCGACGACATGCTCTTTTTCCTGGAGCAACCTAGGGTATCGACACCAAACCTCCTGGACGCATTTCGAACTTACAGTGAGGTATCCAACCTACAGCTAAATCTGGATAAATCCGGAGCAATGCTGCTCACGAGGGACGCGGCTCTCCAGCAACACATCCAAACGCAATTCCCCTTCAGAATATGCACCTCCAAATTGTGATATCTTGGCGTCTGGCTACCTGAGGACACGACGCGCATATACCAACTGAACTTTGCGCCCCTTCTAGCTACCCTACAACAAGATATAAAACGGTGGACGGCCCAGTACATCTCATGGTTTGGCCGCATAAACGCAATAAAAATGAATGTCATGCCTCGCATTCTCTACCTATTCCAGACATTACCAACAACCATCTCAAGAGGGTTCTTTCAAGCGATAACGACTACCATCCGACAGTTCGTCTGGAACCACAAACCATCACGCGTGAAACGGTCCACCTTAGAACGACCAAAAAGCCAGCACTATTACCACAAGACATATGACAGCGAACCTGGCAAGTGCACTACATGCGAAACAAGGAGGGAAACATAACTACACGTGTCGAGCCGGAGTGGAGATAGTCAGGGGAGGGTGACACGAGGGAGAGAGAAGGAATACTGGAAAAAAGGCCACAGTGAGATGTAGTAACATGTTGCAAAGTAGGTTGACAATAGGTACACCTGCTGTATATAGATCTGCCTGCCATGTGCTAGTCAGCAATTCACGTCCTGAGCCGACGCCCATTTACCAGGACTATGGATTGAGATATACTCCTGGTCTCTGCCCCTGCTAGTTTAACCTATGTTCCCAGAAAGCTCACTACTTGAGCAGGTTGGACACACAGTTTTACACACACTGAATTCCCGATGCAGGTTATGCCGCATAAGGTTTACAAATAGCACATATTCGATGCGATCTATACCCTGTTATTATTATTATTATTGCCATTTATATGGCGCCAACAGATTCCGTAGCGCTTTACAGTATTATTGTGTTTATGTACACTGTTTACTTTGACGCAAGCTGATCCATAATGTTTATTTCTGTTTAAACACATTAATGCACAACTGAAACTTGGAAAAATGAAACAAAACTGAAATTAAAAAAAACAACAGATTGTTAGCAGTTATATACAATACACAATGTCAGTAATTATAATACATGTTAGTGGTTATGGTACTGTGCACTATTATACAGTTATACACACAATTTACACTCCCGCTAGACGGCAGAGCTCAAGATTTCTAGCAGGACATACAATTTAACCAATTCACCAACCTACCAACTACAGTATATCGAACAATTATTTACAATAATCCCAACTATTCTAATTGGCCAGCACCTTGAGAACTATCGAACAATTTACACCAAGGTTCGGTGTAAAGTCTACGCTGCCCAAGCACCACATATAGTGAACTACTGAGTGGAATTATTATTATTTTTTTATAATTTTTTATTTTTGTAGTGCACAGAAAACATTACAAGCAGGCATGAGGTGCCCGAGAGCAATCCTCAAGCTTTTTCTCGCAAAACATGCGGGACATTTGCTTACAAGGCACATTTTTATATTATTGTTAGCTTATACATATCAGTTTGTGAGAGTAGTGTTACACTTTAATTAGGCTAGAACAGTGTTTAAACTAGTCTGTGTGCATCACAGGTTCTGCATGTTATATATGAAAGGAGAAGAAAAAACAGATGTAGGTGTTAAATATGCAAGTTGCCAGGCAGGCAGGTATATCATCTTTATGTTAAGAGGTGACAGGTTAACTGGGAGCATGGCCCATGTGTACAGTAATGCATAGTGCAAGTGTGGGATGAATATTATGAGTGCAAAACCAATTAAAATGGGTGAGCGGTGAATGTTACTTTAAAGTCCTCTGTCGGTGGAAAGTCTCTGCCCAAGAGGTGCCAATGTGGTATGGACAGCGTCTATTGTATTAGAGGCTTTGGGCTTATACCTCTGTGTGTCCCGGTCTGGGAGTGCTCGGTCAGCCTATACCCAGCGCAATGAAGGGTGTTGGGATTGTTTGAAAGTCCTGCTAAGGCTCTGCCATGAGCAGCGCTGTGTGTTCCAATTGCTGTCTCATCTGCTCGTCACCGCAGGAACCGGCATGGACGTTGCGGGTAAGTGTATTCTCCGTTTAGTGCTTTGGAGCTCTCCATGGCGCCGGGTAGGATCGGAGCTGTGAGTGAAGGTTGCTTGTTATTGGTTGCTGTTCGGGTCTCCGCTTCATGCAGGGTCTGGGGTGAGCTTGTGGGCCAATTCGGGCCTGGGTCACAGTGTGGCTTGATCTTGCCTGTTTGTGTTTAAGCAGGTGGGATCTCCGTCTTTGGCGCCAACTTTTAGGTCCCATCAGGCGGGGCCTATGCGGTTGCGGTGGGTATGTGCGGGTCTTTTGATGGGTTTACACACTTTAGTGTGTCGCTCCTTGCTCGCTATTCGTGCCCAGAAGGTGTTGAGTATTGCTTCGAGTTTGTCCATAATGCTGTGCTTGTCCGTGTGGCAGTTTTGAATGCACATGGCGTCCGCCATTGTAAGTGCCCGTGTAGCATGGGGCTGCCCTATATGTTCTGCTGTCAGCTTGCGCTTAAGCCCTGCTGCCTGGAAGAATTGGACCGGGATCACACCCGCCGGTCCTGAGGGGGGGGAGCGGGTAATCGGAGTCTCCGGCCCCGGGCGCTGAGGCAAGGGGAGCGTCCGTCCACCGCAGGCCGCAGCTTGCCGCATTGAGTTCTCGCTTGCGGGAAACACTCGAGTCCGGTATCGAACGATTCACCAGGGCGCCCCCAGCATGGGTAGCACACCCCGGCTTCAATTCAGGCATGAGAGCTGCTAGTATTTCCCTATAAACAGCCTGTGTGATGGGAGCTCATCCACCATGCGACTGCACTGCTTGCAGGTCAGGCCCCCAGTGAGCGGAATTTACAACAGGACTCATTTAGTCTATTTACACTATCAACAGTCTAGTGGTTGAATTTAAACACCTTCCACTTAGCCAAGATAGGTTAAGATCTAGCAGACGGAATGTACACCAGAATCTGCTTAGTCTCCCGGTCCCCCCGACCTAGCGACCAAAATTTACACCTAGATACGCTAGTCAAGACAGGACACCGGTGTCCGGCCTGAACTATTTACACCAAAGATTCAGCCTGACCCAAACCACCTGTGTTAGACGGGCTGACTACAGAGCGTCTAATTTCCAATAAGCGGTGCGCCTTAGCTTCTTCCACCCAGAGGGATGGGGCAGATTCCATACAACCAATTTCCAAATACAAACCCCTTGTGGGCCTACCGCTCTAACAGTATCAGTCTTACCTCTTTGTTCCTGAACCTGGGCTTCACACTCACCGACGGGGCACCCCAGTACTCACTGCGCAGAAGCCGATGATCTCCTGGACAAAAGGCCAGTGGCGCCGAGACGAAAGGAGGTCCACGCAGAAGTCCAGGGGTGCTGCCATGGAGAACGTTGGAAAAGATCTACCGTCTCACGTCTCTGTCTCACCTACCGTGACGATGAGCTTCCCGGCCAATGCACCAGAGATGTAACCGTGTAAGCGCGCAGAAGCTGAACACAGAGAGATGGACACAGGTATTCAGGAAGTAAGAGGCCTTTATTCACGTACCGATCCGGTCTTAGATGGACTAACGTTCCACAACAGATCTGAGCCCCGAGCACATGGAATACATTCATTATATAGCACTGTAGCTCCTCCCATAATTAGCTACAACCACACATACCCTTAACAAATCAATGAACAGTCTAAACTCGTCCATCCGGTCTAACCAAGTGGCTCATCTGAAACAAAGGAGAAGGATGCGTAATTCCAGTTCCTGCATTCCTGCACATGCTCAGTACATTGATGACAGCATCTTAGCTACGTGTAACTAACTAACTGATACTACAAACACATGTACCTACATATGCCTCGTGGCAATCTTGTCCTACTAAACTTTTATTTTACTGGAATTCCATCACATTATGACTAAACAGCACCTGAGCTTGGCTCCTTTCAGTCTCAGTTTCTTTCACTAATGTACACAATCACTATCTTAGTATACCATAAATTGGCAGGGTTCTCTCTCTCCAGATTTCAAGACTTGAAGATAAACACCAACATTAAAAATATAAACAAGAGTTTCTAACAGAGTTTTCTCCAAGTGATTTAGATGTAGTTTTTACTTACCTTCACTCCCATAACAGGCTTGTCATGGCCGCCTCTCGCTGAGATCATCATCCAATCCAATGCTTTTCCATAGGCAAGCACTAGGGCCCCTACTGTACATGTGCGGCAATCACTGTGCTTCGCAAATCAGAATCTCACATCTTCTCTATCTCAAATCTTGTCAGAATGCATATCTACGGCAAGCGTTCAGCGACTTCATGCCGAATATACAAATCTATACATTTACATATTATATATTAATTGAATATATAAAAAATATAGTGTTTTATACTGCTCCTCCTTTTTTTCCAGAAGTCTGCTGAGTACCTTGCAGAATTCTCCCGGGACACCGGATCAGTTGGCATCGAGTGAAGCTTCATGTTGTAGCCTGGTGCCCCTGGAATGAAGCCTCTCACACATATATGCTCTACCTGGACTGCTGGGACCTTATCCTTGACCGGGAGTATTTTTCTTGTCATGTATATATACTGACTTACCATCCTTTATGACTGATGCCCATTATATGCTTTTTCATGTGGTTTTTAATTTTGAGTTTTTAGCATAAATTAGTTGTCTTTGATTTTGACCACTGACCACTCTATCTGTTTAAATCATCTACCGCTAGTCTGCTCAGCTTATACAATAGCCCACAATTTTTTCTTTACAAAGGTAAGCTTAAATGGACACTCCACCACCCATATAATGTATATATATATTTATTTATTTTACATTTAATGGGATACTATAGGCACCCACGGCTTTTTTTGGTGTTATATTTTAAACTGCAAATTATGTAACTGTACGAACTATGCTTTATTGGTGATAGTGTCATAACTTCTGGCACAAATTGACAAAGCCTGTGTAGGTCGAAACATTGTGAGTGGCAGTGGGTTCAATAAAAAAATGTTGTATCTTGGAGTACATGGACCGTTTTCTATTCTCTCCTTATCCTATGTTTGGTTCCTGGTACTGGGACTGGCCTGATTGCACCAGGATACATACTACTTTCGAATGAGTGCAGTTCCACATCTTTATATTAGTGTCCTAACGTCTGGCACAAATTGAATATAGGGTGCTCAGTGTGTCTCCCATGCACAACTTTAACTAGGTGGGTTTGAAAGATTCTAAAAGTAAAATTATACAGTGTTAAATTATAATATTATGATCTACGAGAGGTTTCAAGGTAGTGGAGTAATAGTACATATAATTCATTGTTGATAGAATTAGATAATTAGGTGAATTTTCTACAATCATAGGAGCATTTTTAGATAAATGAGCTCATTAAAGAGAAATCACATAAGAGTCATAAACCCCAAGATTTAAACCTTATATTTCTTTTTTTAATATTAATAAGAATTATTTTTTTTATTATTAATTGTACTGTAGGCAGCTGCCATTTCAATACAATTTAGTTAAATATTTTTATATTGCTACATCAGACCCAGTGAATATAATGCATAGAAACACCATCCATTGCACATTACGTAGAAAAACTCTTTAAAGTGCACATTTCATTTCAGTTAGTTTTATTATTGATGCAGTGATTAGTCAAAAAGAATGTAGAGGAAGCATTGTACAGCATCCAATGCTCGTCCCAAGCATTCTTATTTGTGTTGGCATTTTTTTGGAATGCCACGTCAGGTATCTACTATCCTTTGTATCAAGTAGCACTTTCTCACATAACCCGTAACCCTCAAATTGTAAACAGACCAAATTCTAAATTACTGAACTTAAAGTAAACTCAATAGTTTGAAAGCATTTAAAGGTATCACATTTATCTAAAACAATAGTCACAAATAAAAAATAAAAAAAAGACATTGACAATCTAGAATTTTCGGAATATTCCCAAGATGAGCATTCACTACATTCTAAAATGATTCAACCAATCATGACCCTCACTTAATTTGTAAAGCACTCCTGAGTTTATCCTATCAGCAGCGCATCATTGACACAGCACAGATTTTGGAGTTGAAGTTCAGTTATCACATTCTTGCGGTGGAAAGCTCAAAGCTGAATCTAAGCCATGACACAATTTACAGCTGTATTTTTGCAGTACAAATGAAAACACTGCAGGTTGGAAGGTAGGGGAAGAACCTTGGGCTTAAAGAGTAAAATGATTTATTCTTTTTAGAAAACATAAACAAGTAAAAGTGAAGAAGATTAACCCCTTAAGGACACAACTTCTGGAATAAAAGGGAATCATGACGGAATATTTCCGTCACGTGTCCTTCAGGGGTTAATTTTTAAAAATTGAAACAGCATAACTGTAAACAAATCTATAAATTGCACAAGTGGGTGCCTGAAACGCCCTTTCCCTTTTCCCTAATTTATACGCCTACGCTTTGAAACGATTGTTGTTTAGGTCCAAATTATTCCTTGTTGGGTTTGAATTGTAAATTTACAAAGTGACATTTTATAATCCCACCTTTCCACAGACTTTCCATTGAATGCATTTACCAGCTGGCTCCGTGTTAACTCGTTCACTCCCGGAATGGTTTTCCTCTGCTTTATCCAATTTGTTATTGTTACTAAGACTTCAGAATTTAATTTATTTGTTTTGGCACGAGTCCGTTGACATGTTTGTCATTGTTGACACAGTTGTTTGGTTGCTGCCATGTTGTGTTCCTGTCTATTAAAGTTATATTTACACAAAAGCCATTGTCTACATTTTATAAGTTCCACGGATGCACAGACACAATCCATGCGTGTTAACAAACGCCAAGGGAATAGATCTAACCTTGCCTATAAAAAAAACTAAAGATTGTGTAACCAATAACTGTAGTTTAACGTAAACCATATAACATTTCTTATTCCAGTAAATTCACCCCAGCTAGACATATATAAAATAATATATTACGTGCTCATTTTACTATGTGATGTTCACTATAGGCTTAAATCTGAGCACAGTACCAGAGCATGCCGGAGGTTAATTGTAGCAGGTACGGACATCAGAAGAGTTGGGATTTGTCTAGTGGGCCAATGAGTCTGCCACATGCCCATTTTGTAAGCACAATTACATTGACTGAGTAGATTTAGTGATACAAAGAAATGAGCTCACCGAATCATAGTGACTTATCAGAAGAAACACACAGAATCTCCCCTGATGTTGCCGGTCTCCTCAAACAAAACTGTACAGGCGATGTCAGCCGCTGAGGAGGGAAGGAATACCTTATAGCTTTAATGCAGAGTGTAAAGCACATGCTTGGATTGGAAGTTCTTAGTGTCCACTTTTCACACATTTGTTTCTGCTGATGATCCAAAAGAAGGTGAAAAACACAATTTGAAGTGATTTCCAATTGTACAGCTAAAAGTGAATTCCTTTTAAATAGGTATAATGTCATAGTCCACCATGGCAAGCCACTCAGGTAGAGTATTAGCATATCTCCCAACACACATCAGAAGGGGAGATTTCTTTGACCAGCCCAGCTTCTGAAGCTCTCTACGTGTGGACCGAATGTCCAGAGATAAATTTGTGCAGTGTCTGTGTGTCTAATGATCCATTTACAGTACACTTTTGGAGGACATTTACCCCTGTGACCCCAGAAGTGGGACTTTAAGAAACAAACCCTAGATACGTAACTGGAGAATAATGTAAGACAGTCACATAGAATCCAGGACTATTAAGAGTAGGGCTTAAAATGCAAACTCCTACACTGCTAACCAGGCCTTAAAATGTAAAATTTGCCATTGCAAGACTGGAGAGTCCATGACAAATCACCAGGCATTGCTGGATTAAGATCCAATTGGTCCTGGAGATGACGGATTATGTTGGACCCAATTACAGAAATTCATAGATAAAAAAACATTAAAACAATCTCTTTTATCTGATCTGTCCCCATCTTACATGTTTTTTTTTTTATCTCTCAACTCCTCTCGCTCACTAACCACAAATTCTGAGTCTTATCTCCGCAGGTCTCACTTGTCCACTCTCCACTCCTCTCCTCCCTATATTATAGCCAGCTAGACCAAACAAGTTTATTTCTCCTGCATCCCTCCTAATTTGCCATACTCCGTTCCCTCTGCACAACATCATAGAGATAGTGAGGAGTAGTTAAATACATGATTTTTATTGATTTATTTTTAGGATCAGCATGCCTATTACATGAGCATGGGCCTGGAGCTACAGCTCCATTTGTCCTTTTGTTAATCCGGCACTGTCACTAAAATAGAATTTCTACTCACTAGGGCTAAATTTTCACTTACCAATTTCTAGTGATTAATATATGTTTCGAGCCCCAATTGGCAGGTATGAACTAGGCAGGCCACTATGCTATTGCCCCATGTAAAGGTTTTGGGAGGGATTGGAGTAGGGAAATGTGACATGCATGTAAGTGACATGGAGAGGAGTTTTGGAAATAGTTCTTGAATTTGATAGGGCAGAGGGATATAAGAGACATGGGCGAGAAAGGTGTTGTATACCTCCCAACAATACGAGCTATGACTACACGAATGGTGGTGGGGAAAAGCAGTAGTGGACGTTGCAGTGGTGATGCAGTAGGATCCCTTCCAAAAAAAAGGTCAAGTCCTTCAATATGGATGCACACATTCTAAACTGACTAGCATGTATATGGCTTAACCTTACACAGGGAAGTACATGCACAGAGAGATGTTGAAATACTCTCATACACTCGCCATGGGTTTAGTTTAAGCAGCATGAGCTTGGGGTGTGAAGATGGTTTCGGAAAAACAACATATCATTCACAAACATTGGCTCTGCCGGAAAAAAAACTCTCTCCAGCCACACTTTGCCAGACTAACACAACACATACATATATCACTACATTACATGCTCACTGGTCCACAACACAAACACATACTACTGGTACACAGAAACACCATAAATAAAAAACAAAGCACTCTTGACATTTTTACCATGGCGAGTACATTTTAGGCCTAGGTAGTGGCTTAATGCATATTTTGAAATACACACACAGGCATACGATGTTTCTAGAGAGAAAGTAATGGCACTTTTCTAATTGCACTTGTAATAGCACTTGTGCTTTGTATGACCTTGGGTTTTTGGAATGCTGACCCTGAATTGTACAGAAGTTGTTACCAATTATGGGTAAAGTGTGAGATGTCACTGGGATGTGTGATGTAGGCATAGCAAAGTCAATACTCCCAAGGCAAAAGTAACAACAATTGTGATAGAAGGGCACTTACAGTACATCGGAGTGCCGATATAAAGTAATACACGCTTTGAAAAGATCTGTGCTATGAATAGAGTGATACTTACTGTATATTATTTCATGATATTTTGACATGGCTCTAGCCTAGAGAATGCCAGACATAAAAAAAAAAGTCAAAATAATGTGCAATGTGTATAAGAACCCAGGCATAAAGGCAGAAAACATCTCAGAGATGGATGCACTGACCTTATGCCAGGCTCTGTGATAGAGGCTGCCTTCCTTTGTTTGGTAATTGAAACGGTCAACCACATATTAAAAGAGCACGTTATTTTTAATACAATTTTTTTTGTCAATCTTTATTTTTCTGTGCATGTATAGACAAAACAAACTGACTTGCAATGCCCAACAGCAGCAAGTGTAGTAGAAAGCTTTGCATATCAGTGTGTGGAATGTGAGAAAACAGCACATTTTAAAGTAGATAAATCACAATAAAACAGACTAGGTCAGTTATGTCTAGTTAGGCGCATGATGAAGGCTGATCTTAGTTTTGCTAGTGTTTTTAATCCAAGCATAACAAACTAATGTAATTCTACGGAGTAGTTGCCCAGCTAGACATAGAGTGCTTTTATGTATACAAGCATTGAAACTGTAGTGTTACACCCCAAAGGTCCCCATCACTAAGAAGCATAGTGTCGCCTGAAATAATTAGCTATACTCAATATATGTATACAACATTAAGGCATATATACCGGCATGGTAGCAGGAAAGTGTGCTGTGTAGGCATCTCCAGGTAAGAATGCCAGCAATAGTTACAGTCCCAAGCTCATCCTATACCCTTCTGGGGGAGTTTAGAGGCTAGTATCTCCCAGAACAGTTCAAAGATCTTATTCAGCCTGTCCAGCTAATCCATCTCTACACAGCTAGGGTCAGAGTAGCACGCAGCATCCGCCATTTTGTGTGCCACTCGGCATCAGCACTTCTGGGGCTGTAAAACGGAGTGGCTTCTGGGGTGTAGACCGAGATCACCCCCACTGGTACAAAGGGGGAACAGTGCACTAACCTGTAGCTCTGGTCACTCAGGGGCAAGAGATCGGACGCCTCTCCCTGCCTCAGGGCGCACCAGGCCGCAGAGTATTCGGAGCCTTCGCCCAAGCTGTGTCCACTAAAGAGAGAGCTAGTTTTCGCTTGACCCAGGTTAGAGTAGCTTAAGAGTCGATGTAGGATGCTAATGGATCTGAAAATTCTTGTATGTTAAAAAATGTCTTAAGCACACCTGAAATAAAAAATAACGAATGGTTATATTGTAACAAATCTAAAACATTTTGATGATAGCGTTCTAACAACAAAAAAAAAAAGCTAAATAATAGAAGATAAAAATGTTGGAATCCTGAAGACGTGAAAGGCTTAAATGATCTAGAAAGGGATCAAACTTGTGACACTGAGATTTGAATAGGTACTTCTACCACACAAGCTACACATGGGGGGGAGGAAACAAAAGAATTATCATAGGCTTTGAGAATTTGTCCCGAACAACATAAGATCCTAAGCAATTTCTGAGAAGAGTTTAAATTAAAAATGATTTACTATGAATTGATGCTGAATTAAATATTTCCATGTTACTTGGATAAAATCTGTACATCCATAGGAACAGTCTGAGCCAATTATCTTCCCTGTGCCTTTAAGTTTGGCTGTTTTACTCGGAATTAGGATGTGTGAGTTTTGTAGAGTGAATAATTGCATAGGAGCAGATTAACTCTTTAAACTGACCGATGTCATTTATTGCTGTCCTCATACAGTTCTCTAAATAAACCGTGACGGCACAAAATGTCCTGCTATGCGGCCTTGCTATCACTGAATCTGTAGGACAAAGCATTCCGTTTTCACTTAGGATCTTTGATTATCAAATTATAACAGATATGGTCATTGCACAATACATGATGCAATATATAGATGTAAGGCTAACAGGTTTACTGTTAATTCCATAAAAAGCCTTCTTTATACTATAAACTCATTTCAGTAGGGCAATTATCCTTGTTACAGTTACTGCCTATCATTTACCCATTGTACATTGCTGTGGAATATGTTTTCGCTATATTTACAGTTATAATAATAATGGTCGTTTATCGGCAAATTTCTTGGCAAATTATAGATTTTTATTGATGACGCGATGAATGTTATTTT